TAATACATCTTCACAACCCATTCGCAGTCTGCCTCAGACAGGATGTCTCGCTCTGCTCGCACATGTGCCACTTGCTCCTTTTCCAACATGTCCAACTTGCGAAGAATTTTCATGGCGAACATGTGACCTGTATCCTTCTTCTGAACCAGACGCACCTAAGAGAAGCAGAAGACAGTCGGTAATGCCTTAAGAGGCTGCTGTTCGAAATAAAACCTCGCCGAAAGCACCTCTTCCGATCACTTTAAGAGTCTCGAAATCACCAACACACAACCTCGTACGTTTCAGGCGCAGAAACTCGGTCTCCTTCAAACCGTGTTGTTGACGTCTCTTCTCTTTCTATGAAAAAATCATTTAATTGATTACGGCGTTGTCTACGGTCGGTGTTTCAACAACCTCCTCTTCGCTGAGATCCAATTCCTCTAGCTGCTTTTCTAATCTCTTACGCCTAAAATGAAACACATAAATTCAATGAATAACAATTAACTCTTAAATTTTGAAAAGTATCAAGAAGAATGTTAAAGCAGAACAGCATCTGAAAGTCTACCGATAACTTGCACGCCAATATTGCATTCACTGCAGTTCATTTACATAATAAAAGTATTTTCATGAAGAAAATGAAAAAAGAATTGACGAGAGAGAAAAAAGCATAAGATAATGCTTTCGGGTTAAAAAGCTTTGTCACTGGTGCCAAGTGCATGTATTTCAAATGAGCCAAATTCTCGAGGCTGTGTACGGACATGCGCGATTTGTGCCCTACAAATAAGTGACGTCTTGTTGTATCGGTTAAATACAGGAAGCCGGGATCCACTTTGGTCTCTAGCCCATGATCCCTAGACGTCTGGAAACAAGGGTCAGTGAAATATTGTCGTGAAACCCGTTGTAGCGACATTAATTGTTGTTCACCACGGCAGTACTGGTGTAAACCAAAATTAGTGTACACCAAAGTCGAATAAATAAAATAATGCTTCCGGTATGTTACCTACTTTCGGTCACAATTTCAAGTTAGCGAACGAACGCGCCTATTCGATCCTACTTGATACTGTTTTGCAACTAGACACTGTCGCTACTCAAATGACTCGGAGCTACAACTTGCTTAAATTGTCTCCAAGCAGTCTTGAGACAAGGGGCGGTGCAACATGCCAAAAACCAAATCTAATGACACGGATCGTCATTCACTACGGCAGTATTGGTGCAAACCAACAGTAACTGGTGTAAACCAAAACGTAAAACAAAAAATGATGATATCAGCCTAAAAGGCATTATCAGTTGTCTCAAGAGCATGCACCTTGCTTGAACGACAACTTGGAACTACTGAATGGTGTGTCGGGGGTGCATTTTGCTTTCGGCACAATCTCAGATTTGCCTGCGGAGGAGCCTGGTTCGTGGCATCAATGTATGATCAGCGCTCACTACTACTTCCGGACGTCTAGAAGCACGAGCAGGATGTCATACCACTGAAAACCACGCGTGACGACGTGAACTGTCATTCACAACATTCACAGTATTGGTGTAAAGAAAACCAACGTTAGTCGGCATAAACCGAAATGTGAAAGATAAAGAAGAGCAAAAGAAAAATAAGAACAAGAAAAAGAAAGAACAAAACCTTCATCATCGTACATTTTCTTATCATCGCTCACCTTAATCAGCAAAACGCCCATTCAAATGCAAGCAATAGCGAGAATCAGCTGATCTGAAGAAGACCAAATATACTAAATAGACAGGTAAAAAATAGAGGCAGTCAGAAATCTGAAAAAAAATATTTATTAAATGAAGCTTTCAGAACTCACAGTGTTTCTGATGAAGGAGCAGCACCCTTGGGGGTTCCGAATACTTCAACGAATAAAGAGATACATTTTTAGACTTCTAACCGCCTCTTTACACATTATCGCTAAGATTCTGTTGATGTCTTTCTGATCTAAAAAGTTACGTAATCATTGTGATTGCCAGGGAGACTTGAGGATTCATTAGAATTTGCCGCAAGATAAAGGTGAATTCCTGAAAAGAAGTTATCTACAAGACGAAGGATGCTGATGACGAAAGACTAACATGGTGCCCGCTGAGGAATACCGCGACACGTGCATTCCACAAAACTTTTGGAGGGATCACAAACATACAATACAGTATATAAAACATGCTTGAAACACATCCACAATTCAAGACCGAGTTTAATAGCTCGTTTACCTTTTCTCTCTTTCAGCATGTTGAGCAAGCAAATTACTATAATAGGTTTCCAATGCGATTCGAGC